TAGAATTGCATGTTACCATATTTCGGAGTTCAAGAAAGCTGTAAAGATAAAAAATAAATAATTTCATGGAGATCTCTCATTACCACTCAAACCCTTCCTAAAGGAAATATTGAGTTCTAATTTGAACGTTATTACCCTTTTTTAAAATGGATACAATTAAGATTATTATAGAAAGTTTGAGGAAATGCAATATCTAATAAAAATAACAATCGAAACATATGTAATTATATTATTTTATTACTAACAAATTGAAAAACTGTTTCCACTACTTTTTTCCGGTATCAGACTCGCCAGATTAAGTGTTCTGTATACATGTACTGTGCAGCACATTTTACTTTCTTGGCTTGTTACTATAGTCTTCACTCTTACATCAGATCAAACAATTATTCAGTTGATATAACATTTATAACTCCATCTTCAAATGTACATTACTTGTATTAATGCATAACTGATGAGAACCGCTAAATTAAATTCAGTGTCATGAATTATTTATAGTTTTGAATACTTATGTTCTTTTTCTCGTCCTTCTTGTAGTTTCAAGGTGTTGTGTAGGACGTTAAACATTGTCAACTAACTTACTTATGCAAATGATCTTAGACAAATCACTGTTTTTAGGCTTTACCTACTGCTAAATCTTAGGATAAGATAGACCCAACAGTAAAACTCCACGTTTTAAGTGTTCACTTGAGTCATTTATGTATCAAGGACAGTTACTCGTCGTCCAGGTCAAAACTATCCCAGATCATTTTGTTGTTACCATAGCTTTTCTTGGTCTTGGCATCTATTGTTATCACAAGTCCTTGCTTTTTAACATTTTTATTGTTGCTTTACATCTTGAGTGCATGGCATACACAAGCGCTGTCCGTCCTTCGTTGTCTGTTGCATATATATTGGCTTTGTTCTCCAGTAGTTTGTTAATTATCTCAAGCTTCTTGTTGACACCATCTTCACATGCTTCAAATTTACACGCCAGCATCAGTGGCGAAATACCCATGTGTGTACAGAAGTTTACTTCGTGTCCGCCTTGTATCAAAATTGTTGCCAATTTAAACTTTCCAGACTCTCATGCCTTCATCAACTTGTTTTCCATTTATAATGTTTAATGCATAATGATTAGATCTTAGTATATATTTTCTAGAAATGAGTTTTCCATCTCTTGCCAATGGTTTATAGTAACCTGAAAAGTATCAATACGCATTGAATTCAGTTGAAGGTTAGAAACAACGTTATCTCAAAGAAGATTGATGATTGGCTGTATGTTATTTTCCATGTTGATTTTGTAAAACGGGATCAAAGACCGGAAAAAGTTACCTTTATCAGCCTTGTAATTAACAGTTTTCGAAAGGTTTTTTTTCCGATAATCATTCCCCTCTCCAGAGGAGTCCAAAAACGGAAGTCAAGGAAACCAACTTAATTTGTCTAATTTATGATTTAAAGTAACCTCTTCAAATAATGTACAAAAATAATATCAAATTTCCTCATGCACATAAATATAGGTTAATATTAAACCTGGATATGTAACATACTAGTATGATTTGAAGAAAACCTTGTTAGATATGAAATCGAGTAGTTGCATCATTGGTCTGGTTCAGTCATCGTTTTTGGTTGTAAAGATCTAAAAAAAGACCTGGCGAGGCGTGACTTTAACGGACAAAATAACTGAAAATGCTATTACATAATTGTTAATTTCTTCATCTATGATTCTAAATCACATTTGTATCTTTCAAAAACATAAACGTGTAATTGGTCCTCTTCATACGCATATCAAAACAATAGTTATTAGAAATAAACGAAAAACAAAACTTAGATCTAGATATTACTATCTCTTTCCCCAATCACTAATAAAATAACGACAACCGGCTAATTGCATCGAAATGTGAACAGAAACATAAGGCAAATGCTATGGTTTAACATGTTTGTGTTTGCTTAACCCTCCCCTTACATTAAGCAATGGTGTTACAACACAACATAAAGAAAAACTGAAAATAAATAGACGCATAAGGTTGACACGAAAAAATATCTAAAAGTCAATTTAAAAGTTCTGTTATTTTCGAAGATAATGATTCTAAAATATATAAATCACGGTCTTCTTCACTTAAGTATAAATAGGTACAAATTCAACGGATTTAGCATAAGACGGTATAAACAGTCTACGAAAGGCAGGAACACATTCAAAACAAAACTATAAGTTCACAATACTAACAGGATATAAGACCATATGGTTTTCTTTCTCTATAGCAAAGATTTAATTTATCAAAAACAGAATCAGTGTAAGTACCGAAACACAATATTCACAAAGATCTTGCTACGATCTTTAACTGATAACCACAAAGAATAAATGTATCTAAAGGTTAAATGAGATAATATGGTTTGTATATTTTCGGGTTCTAAAAAAAAACTATCGTAAATAAAAGCAACAGTAAGTAGTATACCGGTGTTCAAAAGTCATAAATAGATTGAGAGAAAACAAATCTGGGTTACAAACTCAAACCGAGAGAAACACATGAACTATAAGAGGAAACCAAAGGAACAACAGGAACACTGAAGTGCAACAAAAACAAACGCTAAGTTGAACATAAATAGAAACGAACTAATTGATAACAACTGCCATATTCCTGACTTGGTACAGAACATTTTAAGAAACAATATTGGGTTGATCCTGGTTTTATGGCTAGCCAAACAAAAAAACATCAAAACATACGCAAGAACACTCATCACAGAGAACATAGAATAGGATATTCTGCTTGTATGAGAATTTCTGCAGTTACAGCCATTTTTTTCCAAACAGATCCGAATGCCATGAAAGTGATGACTTAAACTTATCACTTGGTATAATGGTAAATATGTTTGCATTTTCAATGAAAAAGGTGTGAGTCTGAGATTTCGATCAAAAAACCTGATAGACAAAATATTCGTATTGTTTCGTAAATGGTGCTAATTAATATGAACTTTTTGTCCCCTAATTTCTGAACTCAATCAAAGACAGTTGGTGATCACTCGGTGATTGATCTTCAACATTTGTATTAGATTTTGAATATTGAAATATTCTGGCCTCGAATATCACTAAATATACATTAATTGTTGAAATGCGCATCTGGTGCATTACAATTGGTATCGTTCATGTTATTACAACTGTCTTGATGCTAAATGAATTGAAATCAATTAATATTGACTTCGATAAGCATATATAAAGGTCAAACTTTTGTTACATAGTATTCTTATTTACAGGAAAAGACATCAGATAAACGAAACGAAAACAAAAAGTTGTAGAACAGAGATTGTAACAATGTGGCAAATTTGGCAAGAAGAGGCAGTGTGTCATTTGTGGATAAGAGTGCAACGCATCAAAAGAAGAAAACATCTACAACCGAACAACTTATACCTTCGGTTTCCATTTAAACGTTAATTGAAAATAACTAAAAATAAAACGTATTTGTCATTCATCTTTGTTTTTTTTCGATTTTAAATATATTATTAGTGTTTAGCTTGTTAAACAGGACTAGATAATAGTTAACTTAATGATATAGGAGGGTTGTAAGGGGCCCAAGAGCTACGGCGGTTTTGTTACAGCTCCTACAAAAAGTTGATTTATTTTGTGTAGAATGCCTTTAGACAATTGAATTTTGCTGAGACGAAGTTGTATATGAATTTTGAAAAGTGTAGAACAGTTGAAGAAGTCAGTTATGTTGAATTCTGAATATAATTCAAAAGAAAACGTAGAAGAAAACAAAGACAAATCCAATATGGTGGACACCAGTGAACAGGGTGAGACATATTCGCCTATTTTACAAACACATAACACCAAAAACAATTACGATATTGAAGAAGTTAAACCAGTCTTCATACTAGAAAGTGATTTGTTTGGCAACAATAAGCCAAGAAGAGATCAATTGTTAACCCATTTAGAATTGTACAAAATAATTGATGCAACAGTTTGCCCAGCAAGCCATTTGAGAGGGCTGCAGAGAGTGAGAGGGTTATGGAGGATTTATTTAGATTCAGAGACAGATAGAGAATCGCTGATTATATCTGGCATTTCTATTCCTAATAAATTGATCTAAGTGTACACACGAAACCCAAGAATAACCCAAAACGAATATCCAGAGTACATTAAAGTAAGGGTAAAAAATGTTCCATGTTCAGCAGAAGATGGACAGATAGAGCGCTGTCTAGAGTTTAATGGATGTGACGTGACATCTTTAAACTGTATAGAGAACGTTTGAGGGTAGATGGATTAGTAACCAATTGCCAAACTGGCGACAGAATTGCAATAGTTGCTCCACTTAGTAAACCATTACCTAGAACACTAATAATAGGCAAATACAAAGCCTTGGTATTAAATCAAGGGCAAGATAGTCATACAGGACATTATGAAGTATCTTGCAATAAATGTCTTCAGAAGGGGCATAAATATGCACAGTGTCCAAACGATTGGGTATGTCGTCAATGTCATAAAGAGGGACACCGGAAGGCAGAGTGTGATTCTCCTCTTAGTGAAGTTAATGATACACGTGACCAAAATTCAGATGGCGATGAAGCTGGAGTAGAAAATCAAGAGCCGCAATCCCAATCTGTACTGCAACCAAACCAAAACGCAGTCAGCCAAATATCTATTGCTCCACTAGATAAAAACCAGACATCCACAAACATAAATACCAGTGACGATAGCCAAAAAACTCAAAAAAACTCAATAGCAGAAGATACTCAAAGTGAAAAAAATAAAGGGCCTAAAAAGAAAACGGGGATAAAAAACCCAAGAAGAAATACACCACAAGGAGGTATTAGTCAATATTTCCATGGAACACCTGGTATTGTAAACCCTGAACATTATACGCCTACAAATAAAACCGACAAAAGAAATGCAACGACCCCCACAGACGAATACCACAAACGTACAGGTCCTGCACAAAAGACAAGTAAAAAGTAGTGCAAAACTGTATCATAATATAGTTGTATCAAAATTTATGCATTATAATATCTAAAAACAAATGTACAAAATGTATATAATTTTTATTATTTTTATTATAACTATTGAAAAAAAAACAAAAACATGAATGTGATGTAATTATAGATTGCATACATCCAAAATGAAATGACAAATTGAAAGTCAAATATATGTTTGTTGAGAAAAAGGAAAATATTCCTACTAGTAACTTGATATTATGGTACATGTATGTTATAAATAGCACAATAGAATCTGCTTTTTCTGGTAAAAACATAATTCGTGATGTGAAGTTGATAATTAAGCACTTTTTCCAACATCTATTTTTCCTTGTGAAAAGAATTCAAATATCCACTGAAAACACATTTATTATCAAATGTGATAGTATGTCTCACAAGTCTTCGCTATGTACAAGATGTATAGCAAGGGAAAGTCCAATTCTGTTTTTAGTCAACGACTGGCAATATATAGTAACACGGGTTTACACAGTACTAGTATTCCTAGGTAAATCCATGAATAATACGTGCAAGTTTCAAGTTCCGATAACACATGGATTACGAAATTTTACAAATCCACTATCACATATATTTTCTATCAAACCAATTGTAAACTTCATGTGGTATTTAAATTTATCACGTCAGTTCGATGAGGTGACACTGGGTCAACCTATTATTAAAGTCAAGGTCGAACATCGACTGAAAATAGACAATAAAACAACAATTATTACAATGTCACATTATTATGAGATTTACATTAAAATGATAATTTACAGATTGTATATGCATTGCTTACAAATTGGTATATTTATTATTAAATTAACAAGTGTATGTAGAAGGTGTATAATGTATAGACTTACAAAAATACATATTGACTATGCATTTATTAATATTATGTTGTTAACATCATATTTGGGTAAACATTGTATTTTCATTATGACACTTATGACAAATAATGAGTGAAACTATACATATATGTTCATTGAATTGTCAGGGACTAGGGTCAAAAGACAAAAGACAAAGGTTTCATATGTGGATGAAGCATCAACATTGTAATATTTTATTTATACAAGAAAGCCATTTCACTGTTAATTTAGAGAAAGATTTGAATGAGGAATTTAGAGGTGACATATATAATAGCTATAGTAGTGGGGTGTCAATTTATATTAATGAGCAAATAGAATATAAATTTATTGATAAATTTCAGGATAAAGAAGGGAGAATGATTTTGCTTAATATAGAAATTAAAGATAGCATATATACTTTAGTGAATATTTATGCTCCAAATTTACCAAAAAACAGAAATGTTTTTTTCAAAAAAGTCAAGGATATGATATCAGAAAATAGTTTAGGGATGGTAATTATTGGTGGAGATATGAATGATACTCTATCAAATATTGACAGAAAAAATTACAGCACAAATAAAAAAACACAAAAACCAGTTTACAGTTTAAAAAATCTAATTAAAACACAAAAGTTGATAGACATTTGGAGAGAGACACATAGTAACAATACACAATTTACATTGAGGCGCAAAAACAATATGAATGAAGCCTCTCGCATAGACTTTTTTCTTATATGCCCAGAAATAAGATCACATATATGTTCAGCAGATATAAGACCTGCACTTATATCTCACACAGACCACCAAGCTATATCATTAAAGTTGAAAGGGAGATCACAATCAAAAGGGAAAGGATATTTCAAAATTAATAACAGCATTTTGGATAATATTGAATATAAAAACATAAATGGCCTAATTCATAAATATAAAAACAATCCAAAACTTACCAAGGATCTTGGACACCATTGGGACTTATTCAAAATTGAAATAAAAGAATACACGATTGAATACTGTAAAAGAAAAGCAAAACAGAACATAAGTGAAATACATGTATTGGAAAACAAAATGAAAAAATTAAATGAAAAAATTAACCGACACTGTAAAGATGAGGTAATAAAACATTTTCAAGAAGAATTAATTGATAATGAGAGTAAATTAAAGAAAATATATAATATAAAAACAAAAGGAGCTCAAATCAGGTCGAGAATTCAATGGGTAGAAGAAGGAGAAAAAAATACAAAATTCTTTTTAGGTTTGGAAAAAGCTAGACAAACAAGAAAAACTATAACCGCACTTAGAGATAAAGAAGGAGTGATACAAACTGACTCATCAAAATTTTACAATTAGAGAAAGAATTCTATAAAGATATTTATAAAAGTACAAATCCAGATATTAAATTTATAAACGATTATATTAATGATACAAATATTGATCATAAATTACCAACACAAGAGAGTGATATTATGGAAGGAAAATTAACTATGGATGAATGTACAGATTCATTATTTAAGATGAAATTGAACAAAGCACCTGGGATTGACGGTTTAAGTGTAGAATTTTATAGAACTTTTTGGGAAGAATTAAAAGAATTCATTGTATCCACATTTAATTTTTCATATAAAAAAGGGGAGTTTACAACTTCTCAGAAATTAGGAGTTATCTCTCTTATCCATAAAAAAATGATCCACTGAGTTTAGATAACTATAGACCAATAACTTTATTAAATGTTGATACAAAATTAATAGCATACTCATTAGCTCAGCGCATTAAAAATATTTTACCAAATATTATACATGAAGATCAAAATGGGTATGTTAAAAATAGATATATAGGTTATAACATTAGACAAATCCAGGACATAATTGATTATGCAGAAAAATTTAATATAGAAGGAGCATTATTATTTTTAGACTTTTCAAAAGCTTTTGACTCTTTAGAATGGGATTTCATGTTCTCACCATTAAAAAAATTTGGTTTTCAAGATTCTATGCTCAAATGGATAAAAACTTTGTATACAGACATTAAAAGCTCAGTGATCAATAATGGGTGGATATCTGAACCCCTCAACATTTTTAGAGGGATAAGACAAGGATGTCCGTGCAGTGCTTTAATTTTCGTTATTGCTGTCGAGATATTAGCATGTAGGATAAGACAAGACAAAAATTTTAAAGGATTTGAAATCAAAATAAATGGGAAAACACATTCTTTAAAAATTAGTCAACTTGCAGATGACACCACACTTTTTTTAAAAACAAAACAAGACATTTCAAAAGTTTTAAACATGATTGAAATTTTTGGCACTTTATCAGGGCTTAAATTAAACAGATTAAAAACAGAAGGCATTTGGTTAGGAAAACACAAACATTGCAAAGAAAAATATGAAAACATCAACTTTACAAACAAACCAGTGAAATGCTTAGGAATTTTTATCGGTTGTAACAAAAATGAATGTCAAAAACTTAATGCAGAAAAGCAAATAGAAAAGTCTGATAAGATTATAAAAATTTGGGAGAAAAGACATTTAACAATGATCGGTAAAACAACAGTTATCAAATCATTGATTATACCAAATATTATCTTTTTAGCATCTGTTTCACATATTGAAAAAGAATATATTGTTAAATTCAAAAAAAAAATTATCTATAATTTTTTATGGAAAAGCAAAAAAGAAAAGGTTAAACGTACAGTACTAAGCTTAAATGAACTAGACGGGGGTTTAAAAATGATTAACATAGATAAATACATAGAATCTATCAAAATTAGGTGGATCAAAAGGTTAATTACTGGAGATCTAAAAAATTGGAAAATTATTCCACTATTTTATTTTAATAAGTTTGGAAACGATTTCCTTATCTTTCACACAAATATTGATAACACTGATTCTATTCCAGAGTTAAAGGAGCTGCCAGAATTTTATTTGAATATAGTTAAAGCATGGATAACTAATAAAAAAGTACAGCAGCCAAAAAACTTCAGATCTATACGTCAAGAAGTTATTTGGGGAAATCATTTCATTAAGATAAAACATAAATGCCTTTTATTCCAAAACTGGATAAATAGTAATATTATCTTTGTTAACGACATCATTGATGAAAATGGTAATATAGAAGAAAATTTTATTTTACAAAAGCTTAAAATAAAAAGTAATTGGATGTCAGAATTTTACCAATTAAAGAAAGCTTTTCCGAGAGAATGGTTAAAGATTTTAAAACAGGAAAATTTAAAGAAAACTAAAGTAAAAACATCCTATGCACTATATATTAATATTAATTGTAATAAAAAAGAAAATTTAGAAAGTGTAGATACCAGAAAAATTTATAATATATTAACTCAGAAGGAAATTGAAATACCTGTTGATTTTTACAGATGGAAGACAATGCTTAACCTTGTATACATTAAGAGTCTTTCATGTAATATGTTAAAGTTTGTTCATCATTTTTAAAAAGATAATAAGTATAAGGTGTTCCGTTGGAAATTGCTTCACTTTATTTTACCTTGTAAAGTTTTATTGAAAAAGTGGAAGATCTGCAATATTTCAAATTGTTATTATTGCAACACCACAGAGGATTATGATCACATGTTTCTTAAACGTCGCTTTCTTGATAATTTCTGGAGTAAAGTTAAAAAACTCTTAAAAAAACTATTAATTAAAAAATATTCTAACATTAAAAAATTTAGTATGGGGTTATAAAATAAATGATGAGCAATACTATGAAATTAATTATTTGAATACAATTATAATGTTTTGTATATATAAGACAAATTATATGTCTGAACAGAAAACAAAATCTTTAGATGTATATTCAGTATTGAAAGCAGAATTCATGTACAGCTACAAAATGCAGGCAACTAGTAAACATACTTAGAATAAATGTCTACTTGATAAAGTTGTCAAATTGTTGTAATAGTTTTTATGTTTGAAAATGTATAATCTAGCAAAAAATAAAAGGAAAAGGTAAATAAAATATAAAAAAAAATTCTAGATCCGGAACTGATTTATAGAAATAATTTTACCTATCACCGTTAACATGGTTAAGCGTGGTTGATAACGGTATTTGTTATCCTCAGTTTTTTTATCGTTTAAAAAAAAAAGAAGAAGAAAATATTTACAAACTAATTTATTTCAGAATCGAAACAAATATATTGAAACTTTTATTCATACATACCTGTGAATAGCTTATATTAATCATATTTAAATCACTATTCCAAACCAGGAAGAGATACCAATACAATAATAGTAAATCGATAACGGCAAGTGTGAACTATTTCCGGAAACTTTTTCTATCCAAACAAGCTAGATAATACATATTGATAAATACGAATTTCATATATACTTATTTATTTACGATTGAAAATGAAATATTTATAATATAGTTTAGATGAATTGTAATGTATTATTGTTAAATAGAGAGAAACCCTGGATTTCTTGTAAAAATAAAGAGACCTTTCACTAGAATGCTGGACTAGTGAAATAAATTGTTAACAGCAAGCAATATATTGTTGAAAAAAAAAACAAAAAAAAACTTAATGATATATTTTTGGTCAGGAATACAAATCGTTATTTACCTTTTGTTTAATACATCTTTATAGAGGGATTGTCTTTTTTTTAAATATACTGACATTGTTTCGTTCATTCTAGTTTTTCAAAATAGAAAAATAGCATTCGTTCTATTATACACTGAAAGACGTGGGTATTCATTTCACATTTATTTTACAGAACGTCAGAACAAGTTCACGAAATACAGTTTTTTAACAGATATAATATTAGCTCTTAGCAAACCCTAATTAAATGATCTGTAGTTTACTGTTTAAATTATCATGTTTTTTTTTGCTATTTTCTTGAAAATATGGAGATCGTTTACCCGAGAGAATTTTGTTTTACTTGATCGTTTGATGTGTTTTGTTTCTTGTATTTATGTTTACGTTTTTGATTGAGCTAGCTATATCTGATTGTTCTCTCCGAATTTTGTATCTCTTAAATGAACCATCTTATGCACACTTTTCTCAATGACAAATAATTTCGAACCCGTAACTTTTTAGATCATCTTATTTAATATTCGTGAAAGTTATTCTAATTTAAATCATTGAAGGATTGTTTATAAACATTTGTTTTCTTCTCAAGTTTTCTTTGTAAATGCATGTAACTATATGAACCCACGACAAGATGGTAAATATTGGTTATATATACGCGGGACAACTTCATATCGATGTTCAAAATTTCATTTTATGTATTACGAAATTTTAGATATATGTATATATCACATACTTTTTTAGTAATGGCGATCGCTCATAGCCATTCAAACACCTATAAAGGGCAATTTATGTTACAATTTAGGCGATATCAAACGTTTGAAAGAAAAAAAAAACACAAAAAAGATTATTAAAGATAGTATTAGAAAATGCAATATCAAATAGAAATAACAATTTAAACACATTTAAATGAATTATTGATTGCTAAAAAAAATGACACCTTGTCCCCATTACTTGTTCTCGGTCTCAAACTTGTCAAATGTTGTCTCGAGTATAATGATTACGACATTTTACCTTCTGAGATTGTTTCTAGAGTCTTTAAACGTACATCAGATCAAGAAATATTTCGTTGAAAGAACATGTGTAACCCAAACTTCAAATGTTTATAGATTGCTCGTGCTAATGCATAACTTATGAGAACCGCTAAATAAATTCAGCCTGACGAAATATGTGTTCTTTTTTCCATCCGTCTTAGTGTGCATTAAGTTGTTGTGTAGGACGTTACATATCATCAACAAACTTACGTTTGGAAATAGTCTAAGACAACTTACTGTGAGTTATAGTCTTTACCTTCTGCTCAAATGTTTTCCTAAAGATGCAAAGGATTTGATCGAACCAACATTAAAACTCTACATTTGAAGTCTTCATATACCGGCGCTGTCCGTCCTTCGTTGTCTGTTGCATATATATTAGCTTTGTTGTCCAGTAGTTTATTGATTATCTCAAGCTTCTCGTTGACGTTCTGCTCACATGCTTCAAGTTTACACGCCAGCATCAGTGGCGAAATACCCGTGTTTGTACAGAAGTTTACTTCGTGTCCGCCTTGTATCAAAATTGTTGCCAATTTAAACTTTTCAGCCTCTAATGCCTCCATCAATTTGTTTTCCATTTTCAATATATAGTGCATAATGATTAGAATCTTAGCGTATGTTTTCTAGAAATGATTTTTCCATCTCTTGTCAATGTTTTATAGCAAAGTGAAAAGTGTTTATTCGAATTAAATTTCGTTAACGATTAGTGACAACGTTATCTCAACGAAGATTGATGATTGGCTAGATGTCATTTTCTATCATGATTTATTTCTAGTATGGGATCAAAGTCCCGTATAGAATAAAAAATGACGATTTTTCATCTTGATCTTTGTAGCAGCAATCCAATTTTTTTTTATCTTAATAATGATTAAAAGTAATCTCTACAAACGATGTACACTAATGATATAGAATTGTTTATGTACGTTAATATGGTCAACTGGGAATGTGACATACTTGTATTATCTAAGACTTCGTTGTTTGATATGAAATTGTGTAGTATCATGACTTAAAATTTCTGATGAAGTGATTGTCAGTGTTTTCGTTCGTGTCCTGGTTCTAACATCGTTTCTAGTTCTAAAGTTCTTTGTACAAGATGGCGAGGCGTCATTTTCACACACACAGGTAATAACACACAGACATAATATAAAGTTGTGGACACCCAGAATTAAAGAAATAAACCATACGTAGTTTTTGGAATGGAGAGAACGAAAATATTTGATTGCTGCACTTATATAAGTGTAGGTCACGTTCTTACCTTATTATTGCAATATATTGTCCAGCCGAGAGATACTGACAATGTCATCAAGAACAGCTAAAAATTTGATTTAGCGGTTCTCATAAGTTATGCATTAGCACGAGCAATCTATAAACATTTGAAGTTTGGGTTACACATGTTCTTTTAACGAAATATTTATTGATCTGATGTCCGTTTAAAGACTCTAGAAACAATCTGAGAAGGTAAAATGTCGTTAACATTATACTAAAGACAACATTTGGCAAGTTTGAGAACGAGAACAAGTAATGGGGACAAGGTGTCATTTTTTTGGCAATCAATAATTCATTTAAATGTGTTTAAATTGTTATTTCTATTTGATATTGCATTTTCTAATACTATCTTTAATAATCTTTTTTGTGTTTGTTTCTTCTTTCGAACGTTTGATATCGCCTAAATTGTAACATAAAATTGCCCTTTATAAGTGTTTGAATGGCTATGAGCGATCGCCATTACAAAACAAGTATGTGATATATACATATATCTAAAATTTCGTAATACATAACATGCAATTTTGAACATCGATATGAAGTTGTCCCGCGTATATATAACCAATATTTACCATCTTGCCGTGGGTTCATATAGTTACATGCATTTACATAGAATTGATTGATTGTTGGTTGCTTAACGTCCAGTGGCAAATATTTCATGCATATTCAGGACGAGAACAAGTTCACAATAAATACAATAGGTAGGTTCTGTAATAGATTAAGGGGTTAAGGTCGGAGAAATTTAGACTGCCACGGGAAATGAGGGTATATTGGATAGGGACAGAAATTTAGCCTTCCAACAGGTCACCTACGGACCCCTCAAAGAGTTGTTGCAAGGGTTCTTAACGTGCAAAGAGCGTGGCACTCTCTTTACACGAGGCATCGGATTTAACGTCCCCATTCTGACCGGACGTGGCTGCAAATTTGTACATCCCGCACAGCCAAACGGACGCCCCACTTTAGCACGGGTTTTACTGCCGGTCGGGGGAAGACCAATGGTGACCATACTTCTATTCCCCAGTCACCCTTGGGGGGCATTTACATAGAAAACATGAGAAGAAAACAAATGTTTATAAACAATCCTTCAATAATTTAAATTAGAATAACTTTCACGAATATTAAATAAGATGATCTAAAAGGTTACGGGTTCGAAATTATTTGTCATTGAGGAAAGTGTGCATAAGATGGTTCATTTAAGAGATACAAAATTCGGAGAGCACAATCAGATATAGCTTAATCAAAAACGTAAACAAATTTACAATAAACAAAACACATCAAAAGATCAAGTAAAACAAAATTCTCCCGAGTTTAAAGTAAACGACTTCCGTATTTTCAAGAAAATAGCAAAAAAAAAAAAACCATGATAATTTAAACAGTAAACTACAGATCATTTAATTAGGGTTTGGTAAGCTTATATTATATCTGTTTAAAAACTATATTTCGTGAACTTGTTCTGACGTTCTGTAAAATAAATGTGAAATGAATACCCACGTTTTTCAGTGTATAATAGAACGAATGCTATTTTTCTATTTTGAAAAACTAGAATGAACGAAACGAAGTCAGTATATTTAAAAAAAGACAATCCCTCTATAAAGATGTATAAAACAAAAGGTAAATAACGATTTGTATTCCTGTACCAAAATATATCATTAAGTTAACTATTTTCTAGTCCTGTTTAACAGGCTTAACACTAATTAATATATTTCATATGAAATAAAAAAAAAAAGATGAATGACAAATACATTTTATTTTTAGTTATTTTCAATTAACGTTTAAACGGAAACCGAAGGTATAAGTTATTCGGTTGTAGATGTTTTCTTCGTTTATTGAGCTGCTCTCTCATCCACAAATAACACACTGCCTCTTCTTGCCAGATTTGCCACATTGTCACAATCTCTGTTCTACAACTTTTTGTTTTCGTTTCGTTTATCTGATGTCTTTTCCTGTAAATAAGAATACTATGTAACAAAAGTTTGACCTTTATATATGCTTATCGAAGTCAATATCAATTGATTGCAATTCATTTAGCATCAAGACAGTTGTAAAAACATGAACGATACCAATTGTAATGCACCAGATGCGCATTTCAACAATTAATGTATTTTCAGTGATACTCGAGGCCAGAATATTTCAATATTCAAAATATAATACAAATGTTGAAGATCAATCACCGAGCGATCACCAACTGTCTTTGATTGAGTTCAGAAATTGGGAGAAAAAAAGTTCATATTAATTAGCACCATTTACGAAACAATACGAATATTTTGTCTATCAGGTTTTTTTATCTAAATCTCAGACTAACACCTTTTTCATTGAAAATGCAAACAAAAAAACCATTATACCAAGTGATAAGTTTAAGTCATCACATTAATGGCATTCGGATCTGTTTGGAAAAAAATGGCTGTAACTGCAGAAATTCTCATATAAGCAGAATATCCTATTCTATGTTCTCTGTGATGAGTGTTCTTGCGTATGTTTTGATGTTTTTTAACAGTGTCATATAAGCGGGAGGTTTGGCTAGCCATAAAACTAGGATCAACCCAATATTGTTTCTTAAAATGTTCTGTACCAAGTCAGGAATATGGCAGTTGTTATCAAATAGTTCGTTTCTATTTATGTTCAACTTAGCGTTTGTTTTTGTTGCACTTCAGTGTTCCTGTTGTTC